GAAAGTCATCGCAGTATTGATGGCATTAGAGCCTACAAAAGAATATCTCAAGATCAAGAAAAAGAAGTTTCATCAGTATTAAACAAAGAATATGAAGGAAAGGTTGCACTAATTGAAGATAAGGAAAACAGTTACGAGCCACCACCAAGCAAAAAAAGATCAACTGCAGATACTGTTACATTTGCCCTCTCTAACTGCTCAAATATTACTATAAACTATTAAAACAATACCAAATAACACAAAACTATAATTTAAAATACACATGTAATCAATTAATCGTATTATTTAATTTACCGGGAAATTATTTATTCAACCTCCCGGGAATTTACTTATTCAACCTCCCGGGCTACTTATTCAACCTCCCGGGCTACTTATTCAACCTCCCGGGAAATTATTTATTAACCTCCCGGGAAATCAGAGGTAAGTTAGTTATTTATGAACCCACAACCAAGCAATCTGATTGGTCAATTACAACTAGGCATGGTAGAATAATTGTTATTTAAAAGTTCTAGTTGTTATTTAAAAGTTCTAGCTAGCCTAGACTCTAGTGCGCGTTTTACGCAAGGGTGGGACTCATTTTTAGCAAGCAGTCTTTTTACCTTTTTCTTCTTGATGGCCTCGAACACAGCTACCAGCGACCTTGGTTAGCTTACTATAAATGCTGTTTTTCATTATATATCCTCTACTTTCAGATATCGCACATCTTCGTTTAGTTTTGTCAAAGTTGCAGTGTTTTTCCAAAGCAAGATGGAAAGACTTTGGTCTTAAGTGTGGCCTTTACTACAACACTGTGACAGCAATAGCCGCTAACAATGCTGGTAAACCTGAGTTTGTTGATGAATGCTTCAGAGAGTGTATTGCTCGCTGGTTAAAGAGAGAGGATGATGTTGATGAAGTAGGAGAACCAACTTTAGAGACATTGGCTGCCATAGTGGAAGAGACTGGAGACAAAGCTACAGCAAAGAAAATCAGAAATCAATTCAAGGAAAACAATTGCAAAGGTCAGTTTAAGTTAAGCTATTGTGAACATAGGCATAACTTTCTTTACTTTACATACATGTATCTAGATCCAGCTACAAAGCCTGCACACTGTTCATTATTGTGGATTGTAATGCTGGTAATAATAGTATTAGTAATAATAGTATTAGCAATACTAGTATTGACAATAATAATGCACATGCCATCAATGTTTGATATTCACGATGAATATGCTTCAAAATTACGTGACAAGTATAATGAAGCTCTGACAAGGTACAAAGATCCAGCTGTTAATAAATTTCCAGCTGCTGGTCCATCAGTTCAGGGTTATGTTCCTTTTATACCTCTGATACAAATCATAGTAAAAGAATATAGGAAAGAAGATGCAGATTTTTTACATACCAGTAGTACTAATGAAGTAATCCAGGAGCATGATAATTTTGAGAAAATAGAAATTGAAAATATTTTAAAGCCACTAACAG